ACTGTACTGAGTCATCAAGAAGCTCAAACTGACTGCAGCTGTTTGCCAGTATATTTAGGTTTTTTTCTGAAGACATAAGAGGACAAAAAAGAAGAAGTAGAAGTATACATACAAATAAGAAACACTGTTAACAAAATTGCAACCCTGAAATATTATTGAAAACAGCAAAGTCATGAATATGACATAACTGACATGTGTGGCTTGGAGAAGAAAATCTTAAACAAGGTAATAACAGTGATATCAAATTATTCAGCTGTACATGAATAAAACTTAGACACAAGTGGTTTTATAAGAAGTGTTCACCCTCATGCTCACATATCAGGAATGTATAATTAAAACAAAACAATTAAACAAATTTGCAGAAAAATAAGTACTCCCAAACTAAGCAGGTCAGAAACTTCAATTTTAGGGGTTTTAAAAGCATAAAGGTGTATTAATTTCCAGATTTAGTTAAATACACACACATATCTCTTCTTCCCTCCACCTCTCAGGATTTATTCATTTAGAAAAATGTTAATGAACATCACAAGTGATTTAAAAAGACATAGTGACTTAAAGATAAAATAAAAAGTACTGATTACTGTCACAAGTTTGCATATGGCGAATTTATTTTTGTTTCCAAAGATCCCTTTTCCACGCCTGTAGGCGTATTGAGAATATAGTTCTAGACTTATATTTTTAGACAAATCGGCACTTGGTGGGGGATGTGGTCAGCATCACGCCAGCCAGCTTTACTTCCCAGGACTGCACCTGAACTGCACTCAAGGCTGGGTAGACCTAGGAGTCAAGGTCATTTTTGGAAAAAAAATAGGCTGTCAGGACGCAAACCCGCGACCCGCAATCAGGCGTCTAGCCGCCAGTGCCACAGTGACTCCTTTATGTTTCCAAAAGTGAGGCAATATTACTGAGATCTTTCTCTGTGAATCTCTCTCTCTGAATCCATGAACTATTGTTCTCTGTTCAAATTCTATGAAATCATGAACATTTAGATGCATTATCTTGTGCTGTGCCGGTAAGCGCAGGCTGCTACAGCCATCTCACACATTCAGGTTGTAAGTTACAAATGTTAAAAAAAATAAAAAATATAACTTGCCCTCAGTAATAAGATGCAAGAAAAACCGTGGGAGATGGGTGAAGTCTGCACACCTACCGTCCGTGCAGAATTTATTGCATAGCACTGATCGCCAAAGAAGAGAATAAAAATAATACAAGACAGAAAACACCTAAAATATTTCTGAGGTAATTTCCAAATCGGTGTGCAAGTGACTTCACAAACCCTATTCCAGATATGTATGAATTTAGGCAAGCAGCTCTTTTTTCATCCCCTCTTCCTTCACCAACTTATAGCATTAAACTGATCTCATTTTTTAGCTGTTGTGGTTTTTGTAGGCAAATTTATATTCAGTAGTTTGCTACTGCTTGCAGCTGAGAAAGCTATTCAATTTCTCTGTATGGATCTGAAACATGGGAAAAATCTACAACAATATTCATCCAACAAATTTCCAGACTCTGAAAAATTCATAAATGTTTTAGCCAGCAAAAATTCTATTTTGCGGTAAGTATACGAAATAACTGAATTGACTCTATAACAACTGAGTGCAGAAACACATGAATTTCTGGGCACGAGTAACAATCATGGTGATGCTGATAAGAAAGTGTTAAAATAAAATACAACAAACAAGCAGAGATTTGAGAACAGTATCCTTGCATGTGAGAATGACATCATGTCTTATCTACCCCACTCACTCAGTGACTTTTTTCTGGTTTCAAACAAGAATAATTAGCTCTGTGGATGTCATTTTTCAAACAATCAAGACCTGATTACTGAACTGGAGACATGTTCCAGATGAAGATCTACAGTCAAGGCCTCAAGCAGGTGAAAGAGATGGCAGAAGTGCATCACCTTCAAAGATGAATACGTACAGAAGAACTAAAGTTCAACTCAGTTTCCAGGTATGTGCTTTACTTCTTCGAATTGAAGTGCAAACCTGTAAACTGCCCTTCATATAAAGAACAGTCATGAAGCTGACACAGAGAAACTGTGAAAGTGTCTGCAACATGTAAAGAGTAATAGATAACAACTAAATTCAAATAAACAAAACTGCCATTCACTATATCATGAAACAGATAAAATGACCCATTAAAGTAATAATGTGTAAAAACACAGCTTCCTATACAAGATAGTAACAAAACCACAAGAAAAAAACTTTGAACTAAGAATTGACATAGCACTCGGAACACTCACATAAGCGCTCTGTCCCCATCTTCAGTAGCAAACGAAGAGTTCCAATTCCGATGGCACCAGTAACTGTCTGATTGTATATCCTTTCCCTTGAGTGTTGAGCATCGGCCAGATCCCCTGGCAACTCTTCTCAGTGCCATTCTCCTCAGATCGTAATGATCTATTTGTACTTCCTCACTGTTCACTCGCTCCCAGAGGGCCCTCACATCCAGCTTGTCATACATCAATTCACCACCAAATGGTGCAGAACTGGCTTGTCTATCTGCCTGTTCATTTCCCAACACACCGGCATGACCTGGAGAGAATATCTAAAGGATGCCAACTACCTGGCACCTCTGAAGTGATGCTTGCCACTCTGCACAGAACATACATGTCTCCACTTTTCTTAACATGCTCTGTGAGTCAGTTACAATCACGACATGTGTGTACAGCTGATTCTCAAGCCAGTAAAATGCAGCAGTCACTGCCTCCACCTTTATTCTCAGATAAGACGTTGTGATATTATATAACAGGCTTTGTTGCACTAAGTGAGGTCCATTCGCTTTTGCTATGAACTCCCATGCACTTCGTCTGCCCCTCAACACAAAGCGATTTGTATAGATAATCATATCACTTGGGTGGGAATCGTCATGAATCATTCAACCACAAATAAATGTTAGAATAATAACAATATCAAGATAAATAGTGGTAATAATGTTGACAATAACAATCAAAGTAATTGGAATAACATTAAAATAATGATGGTAATAATTATCATCATAATGGCCATAACAACTGTGGTAATAATAATAATAAAACAATAGCATTAGTTAGCTAAGTAGTAGTAGCAGTAGCAGCAACAGGGATGCAAGTAGTAGTAGCAGTAGCAGCAACAGGGATGCAAGTAGTAGTAGCAGTAGCAGCAACAGGGATGCAAGTAGTAGTAGCAGTAGCAGCAACAGGGATGCAAGTAGTAGTAGCAGGGGTAAAAGTGACAGTACTAGCAGGAGTAAGAATCGCAGTAATGGCACCAACATTGATAAGACTAACAGTAGCAGTATAAGAACATCAGTTGCAGAAGTAAGCATAATAGTACTATCAAAAGAAAGAATAGTAGTAGTTTGATCAACGATCATAAGAGTAGCAGCCATAGTAGTAAGAGTAGTATTAACAGCAGCAGTAGGAGTGTAAGTAGTGTTATAGTAACAGCAGCAAGATAATGACTAGTAGTAGTATTAGCAATTATAACAGGAGTAACATTAGCAGTAGTGCTAAAAAGCATAGTAGTAGTCAATCTGAGAACATATACATTAAAAGCTTTACCAACAACAAAAACAGCATACGCTAGACAAGTCAGGCAATAAACACAGAAAAAGTGACTCGCCCAACATGAAAATAACATAACTAGATTAACATATAGCAACTCCAAAGATACAGTGAAGACCAACCAAAACATAGTAGTAATAGTTATATTACATTAAAGAATATATACATTGGTAAAAAAAAAGAACACACATAGGAAAGAAAGTAAGCAGAAAGAATAAGTTAAATCAGATAGATAAAAGATGGCCCAATATGTTAAACTAGGCAGATAAAAGATGGCTTAAAAAGCTAAATTAGATAAGATAAAATTCAGCGTAGAATGTTTAACAGGACAGATAAAAATGGTCCAATATGTTAAACTAGACAGATAAGTTAGTCAATTATTCAACAGATTATCTTCACTACACATTGGACAAGTTCATAAACACTTGGATCCTATCTTCAGTACATTCACCAGTGTGTGATGACAGATAATTCCAGTTCTGTGTTGAATTACTATTCTTCTTTGGCTACCTGTACTGTGTTCATATATGGTAACACTCTTTTTTTTTGACGTGCAGCTCTTGTAGTATTTTGAATATTGGGGATTACCCGTCATCTCCTAAATCATCTACTCGTCCTGTCTCTTGGGTGCACAGAGAACACCATGGCCCTGCCAGCAAGCCAATCCACTTGTTCTTTCCCTTTTACTCCAGAGAGCCTTGGTAAAAATATGAAACTGATTCCTGTCTGACAAGATTTCCTCAGCGAATCCAATCACTGTTTTCGAACTCATCCTGTCTCGATCTTCTTAAGCAGGATCATGGAATCACATAGAAAGCATGCATGGGAAAAATGCTGCATCTTTAACTACATAATTGCTTTTGTTACTGCCCATCACGTTCATAGTCAGAATACTTGTGGTTGAGGCAAAAGCATCACTATCTTCTTTTACAGTTCTCAGTTGAAAAAAAAACACGAAAACCCATGAGCCTTGTATGTGTCATATGATGGATCTATTGGTGTGAATTACACCTCCGGCAGAAGAAAAGGCCTGAAGTTTCGTCTCAACCACCAATAAGCTTCGTAGGCTGCATTCTCAATCCAGTTTTCTGCAGACTTAAAAGGATGTACATCATTCAGCTGGCACTTGAACTCATTCCTCGCGAGGTTCTATGACCTCAGTTGAACAAACCTGTTAGACTTATATGGCATCACTCACTAAGTTCTACTGGACTTGAACAAAGATGGTTCTAGTACAGTATGCCCGATGAGCCTATTGTGTGAGAAGGGTCCTTTGTATTTTTGCTCAGAACTCATATGGACATAACAATGGAACTGAACAATCATAATGACCTCCCAAGGTTTTATTAGCTAATTTAAATTCCTAAACATGGATGGCACAAGCATGGGGCAATCACAAATGAAACAGCATTACAGAGCATCAAGAAAGAAGATTTGATCCTTTTCAGCATATTTAACTGTTTTCCACTGATGCCTTTTCGCCCGTGTATGACAAGGGTGTGGTGAGAACTCCATGGGAAATGGCCTCTCTTTCTAATGATGCCAGCTGTCGCCGTAGCTTGCTGACCTTAGACCTCAGTTCTTTGTCATATTCTCTAATCTTGTAAATTTCTTGCCAAGCTTCTTCCTGAGGAGCCTGGTTGATGACACCCCGAAGATACAGCCCAGTCCACACAGTCTGAATAAATAAAATTTAAAAAAAAACCAGTAAAGTGATTAAATGTTATACAGAAATGCACAGAAATTTGCAGGATGAAAAATACTAACATTTTACAACAGGGTAATTCACCTGGCCTAGCAAGTGACCCATGGACAACTGCGAACTGAACTGTGTTACTGACTTTTCTATGCAGGGGCCTGGGTCACTTTTATTTTCAACATTCTGGCCCCAGAGTAAACTTCACTGAATAACCCTGTAAGGTAAGATCTGAATACTGATGAAATTGTGCTCATAATGTGACAAAACGGAGAAATATTTCAGTCCGGCAAGAGTTAATTGCAAATTTTAGTTAAAAGAATTGCGCACGTAAAATAAATATAGTTAAACATAGACGCTAAAAGAATAAAAAGGTACGAAGGCGCACATAATTTATGACGTTTTGTGGTGTTACTAGGAGAAACCCTTAGATCTAGTTTCGTGACAACACAGAACGATTGCCAGCCATACCATCGGCCTAACACCAACAATAATAATAATACCATATACGATTTCAGGTTCCCGTGTTCCCGTGTTACCGTATTCCTGCCTGCCTGGTTACCAGAGGACCGTAATTCCGTATTCCGGTTGGCCTGTTTGCCTAGTTGCTTGAGGAACGTGAACCGTATTCCTGATTGCCGGTTTATCAGTGGACATTCCTCCAAAGGAAACTACATTTCAGCTCATCAAGACTTGCCTAAAGCTGAGTGAAAGATTGTTCAGTGAACATTGTGTGGTGTAATGATGAACTAGTAATTGTTTCTTTTGTTTCTTAATTTAAAATTGTTAAAATTCCATATCAGTATTCTATCAATACAGTTGTTATTTAGAAACTCCATTTATCGATTTCATCCTATCAAATTTAACTTCTTGGGTAGACTAAAGATTGTTCATTGAAGTTGATTTGAGTTAAATTAACAAAGTTGACTTTGATTGTTTTCTGAATTTCTTTAGGAAATTTCCGGGGATTCACCCTATTCATTTAACTTTCTGTATTTTCCTTCCTTTATTTTCCAGAACTCAGGGACCGTTATAATTCCCCTAGACTTATTTAATTCGAGCCCTGTAAGTTATTTGGAAGGATATAGGGGATCTCCAGGCGACGATAGATTCCGCCAACAATAGTTGATTACAAAATTGGGGTCTCTTACGCTGGATTTTTTAGAAGTTAGGTCATTAAAAGTAGTCATTAATAGGAAATTGGTAGGAATTTAAAGGTAAATAATATTAGGCAAAAATTACCTTTAGGGAGAATAATATAATAACTTTACACTTGTGTTAATTTGATTGGTGTTTGCGTGTGTTCTTTTTGAAGTATACTCTGCAGGTGAAATGGCAACAAGACCCTCACTTTTGGAGATGGCGGAGCTGGGGAAAACTCTCGGGTATGCTGGCGAAGAATTAAAGGCATATCTTCAAGAAATACAATGAGAATGGAGACAGGAGGACCGTGAACAGCGTCAAGAGGAGAAAGAGCGAGAGGAGAGAGAAAGACAAGAACGCATAAGATTAGCTGAGATAGCTGCTGAGAAAGAACGAGAGATGAGAGCTCATGAACTCCGTCTCAGAGAGATTGATTTACAATCTCAGTCTACCTCTAGTACAGCAGTTAATGCGCAATCTTCTACCTCTGAGGCACATTCTTTTGGCCATCCTCACCTTCTTGGGCCGATGTCTTTTCCTTTTCCTCAGTTTAATGAACGCGAGGATAGAATGGATGTGTTTTTGAAAAAATTCGAAAACGTTGCTAGGTCTTATTTGTTGGATAAAGAAAAGTGGTGTCTGAAACTTTCGCTGTCTTTAAGAGGTCCTTCTTATGAATGTTATTCGAGATTGCCTCCTGGTCAAGAGACCAAATTCGAGTTCTTGAAAAATTCTTTGTTGAAGAGATATGAGTTGACGGCCTCTGCATATCGTAACAAATTTCGTAATGCTAAAAGAGAGCCGGGAGAAACCATTTCTCAATTCTTTTCAAGAATTAAATCTTATCTGCTGAAATGGCAGAGTTTAGCATCATTTACCCAGACCTATGAAGATCTAGAGGAAATGATATTGGCTGAACAGCTAAAAGAGTCCATGTCAAAACCTCTCCAAACCTTTCTGACTGAGAATGGTGCGGAAAGAATTGCGGACATATTAAAGCTGGCTGAGAGATTTGATTTGGCACACCCTGAACAGGTGGGCGCCAGGGCAAAGATGCACCTTTCAAAAATCCCCTCCCAAATTTACCGAAAAGCCAACAGAACGTAACACCCATAGGGAACCTGAATTTCGTAATGGTAAGTTCAATACACCAAACACTAACAACACTAATCATAGGTACCATCCACAAGATAATCGAAGGGGTGACGGTCGTGGTCAGCAATCGTCAGAGTGGAGGGGCCGGCTTTACTGTAAGTATTGTCGTCTGAATACACATAATACAGCAGACTGCCGAAAGAAACCCCCTCAACTCTGCGCCGCCTGTTTAACTAATGATAAACAGGAAAATACCAGGATGAACTCTCATGATGGGGAGAGACCTCCTGTTGTAGATACCATTCTTTTGAAAGGCAAAGAAGTGACTTGCTTGTTTGACACGGGTCTATTATTCGATGCCTTGGTTTCTACAGAACTCGTTGACCCAACGCAGCACACGGGGGAATTTTATAGAGATGCAGACTGCTGCACAGGAGTCTGAAACCTTAAGATTACCTCTTGCCAAGGTAAACATCGACTGCAAATATGTAAAAGGAACTATTGTCGCAGGTTGTCTCCCTAACCCAATATTTCCCGTTTTACTAGGATGCAAATATTTGTATCTTGCAGTTCCAAAGACGCCTATGCTAGTTGGGGCCATTGATACCCGGTCATCAACCAAAGCATCAGCAGTATCTGATCCAGAACCCCAGAATCCTTTACCAAAGGACATAAGTGCTGCGCAACAACAGGACTCATCATTAAAGTCCTGCTTTAGGAAGTTGCCTTATGCCCATCAACCTCCTGAAAGAGGAGACTTCTATATGAAGAAAAATCTATTGTACCGGAGAGCAGGGATAGCAGAACGAGAGTATGGCCAACTCGTTGTTCCCTTGCCTTACCGGAAAACTATCCTCCATATGGGACACACACTAGCATATAGTGGCCATATGGGGATCGCGGCAACTTCCCAAAGAATTTCCTGCCACTATTATTGGCCAGGAATGAGGGGGGACATAAGGAGATATGTGAGCTCGTGTCCAGAATGTCAACGAGTATCTCCAAGACATTCAAACCCTCCGGTAACATTGGAGGACATGCCCATTATGCATGAGCCTTTCCAAAGAGTAGCGGTCGACATCATTGGACCTCTGCCTCGGACGAGGAAGAGGAATGTTTATATCCTAACGATAGTCGATGCTGGCACGTTGTGGAGTGAAGTGGTAGCGCTGCCCACCATCGATGCCAAGAGAGTTGCAGATGCTCTCATTACAATATTTACTAGATTAGGATTTCCTAACCAAATCCTAACTGATAAAAAATCCCAGTTTCGGGGAAAACTGATGGATGATGTACTCCAGATTTTCAAGAACAGCCATATCCATACGAGTCTGTACCATGCTCAGAACCAGGGAACAGCAGAGAAATTGACTAGACCTCTAGTCACTCTTTTGAGAGAATTGTCTCAGATAAAAGTAGACATGTGGGATTAATATCTTCCGGCAGCCCTCTCTGCATATAGGGAAGTTCCCAATACCACAACAGGTGTTCTTCCAGAGACCTTGTTGTTTGGTCGTCCAATTCAAGGGCCACTGTCAGCCCTGTTACAGTCATGGACGAATGAGAATTTGGACCAGACTGTGGTAACCACTTCCAAATACGTGGAAGAACTGAAAGCGAAATTAAAATTCGGATGGAACTTGGTTGGAAAATGCTGGAAGAAAATTAAAGCAAAGTTGACTTCTAATTTTAGAAGAAAGGTGAAAAGTAGGAATCTGAAAGTCGGAGATAAAGTTATGGTGTTGTTACCATCAGTCAGTGATAAAATGGAAATTGGGTTTCAGGGACCTTTTCCTGTGGTGGATAAAGTTTCCCGCAGAAAGTTTGACATTTCCATAAATGGGAAAGTAAGGAGTTTTCATATAAACTTACTTAAGAAATTCCAGGAGAATACGTTTGGTTCTCTGTAACGGGGGTTATCCAATTAACTAATGGGGTACTGAATCGGGAGGTAGTGATAATGCATGGAAAAGGTAACAATATCTAGATACATACATCATATAATCAATGTCAAATGATGTTGTGAAATAAAAGAATTAATATATCAAATTCAGTTCTCAAGAGAGCAAGGACACGATCCTCGTGGAAGACTCCGCACAGCGCAGCCATCCCTGACTGAATAAATTTTACCTTCTATTAAAAAAGAAGGAAAGTTGAGTCACTAGGTAACTAAAATATTAAATTAGTTTGCCGACTTTAACTTAGTGATATAAAATAATTCTTCTTGTACATTCGGGTCTCAAATGAGCGGGAACATGTGCCATGTGAGAGGTTTTGCTAGCTGGCTAGGAATCCTCCCTGACTGAAAAGTTTTCGGTTCTCGAGCGAGCTTGGTCTTGATTCTTGTAGGAGATTTCGTCAGATGACCGAAATTCTTCCCTAACCGACTGAGATGATCTAGATACACATATAAGCAACTGAATTCCAGCAATCACTGTGAAATACAGGTAGGCTCCTCCCAAGATGAAGTAACCTCTTTAGTTGAGAACTCTCTGTTTAATTTTAAACAACATCATTCGGGCACAATGTCCACAAAATTAAAATTTTATACACATACATTTTATATGTGCAAAGTGGAAGAGAACGTGGGTGCAGATTTCTTAAGTAGAATACTAGTGGATGATGAAGCGTATGAGATTGCAAGAAAAAAATAATTTAATTTTAACTCTTTGGGAACTGAAATTTCCTCTATTTAAATTTCGTAACTGAAATTTTCTTTTCCGGGGGCATTTGTGACAAAACGAAGAAATATTTCAGTCCGGCAAGAATTAATTGCAAATTTTAGTTAAAAGAATTGCGCACGTAAAATAAATATAGTTAAACATAGACGCTAAAAGAATAAAAAGGTACGAAGGCGCACATAATTTATGACGTTTTGTGGTGTTACTAGGAGAAACCCTTAGATCTAGTTTCGTGACAACACAGAACGATTGCCAGCCATACCATCGGCCTAACACCAACAATAATAATAATACCATATACGATTTCAGGTTCCTGTGTTCCCATGTTACCGTATTCCTGCCTGCCTGGTTACCAGAGGACCGTAATTCCGTATTCCGGTTGGCCTGTTTGCCTAGTTGCTTGAGGAACGTGAACCGTATTCCTGATTGCCGGTTTATCAGTGGACATTCCTCCAAAGGAAACTACATTTCAGCTCATCAAGACTTGCCTAAAGCTGAGTGAAAGATTGTTCAGTGAACATTGTGTGGTGTAATGATGAACTAGTAATTGTTTCTTTTGTTTCTTAATTTAAAATTGTTAAAATTCCATATCAGTATTCTATTAATACAGTTGTTATTTAGAAACTCCATTTATCGATTTCATCCTATCAAATTTAACTTCTTGGGTAGAAGTTGATTTGAGTTAAATTAACAAAGTTGACTTTGATTGTTTTCTGAATTTCTTTAGGAAATTTCTGGGCATTCACCCTATTCATTTAACTTTCTGTATTTTCCTTCCTTTATTTTCCAGAACTCAGGGACCGTTATAATTCCCCTAGACTTATTTAATTCTAGCCCTGTAAGTTATTTGGAAGGATATAGGGGATCTCCAGGCGACGATAGATTCCGCCAACAATAGTTGATTACACATAAATAGAATCATTTCTCCACAAGTGGGTTCTGGAGCCCTATTTTGGGGGAAAATAAGAAACAAACCCACTGTTGCCTAAAAACATGTCAGGAAAGGGTTGTTTCCTTCAAAGTTGGAGTGCATCTGCCTGAGAGGTGAGGAACCAACAATCTGCATACAAATAAGTCAGATGTGTAAAACAGATGTGCATACAAGACTCAGGTTCTGGAACAATACCAAAGGCCAGAACTGGATGAACAATCAGACATTTCCGCCCGCGAGAGTTCACAGTGGGTGAATGCTAAGAAGAAGATGCAACATGTCTCTGCTCTGGTGTGGCCTAGAGATTTGTGAAAGATCCCCTACCCCTTTTCACCCTTTAGAATTTTTTTTTTTAAACATAAGTTAAAATTAAATACTTACCAAACTCTGTGGAGCCACTGAAGGCCAAATAACTGTCTGGTTTGGCTCATACATCGGATTCATAAAATCTTGCAAAACTTCTGGTCGATTCAGAAAAGACCTGTAAAAAAGACAGTCAGAATATCCATGAATTATGTGCACACACAACACACAAATATTTTTCATTTACAAAGCACTTAACCCCCGCCCCACCCTCCCCCATGCGGTTCTATTACCTCATTTTAAGGGACAAAATAAAATAAGCATGCAGTAAAAGGATACTAATTAAGATTTTGCTAAATTTGGAAGTGTTAAACCAAAAGGCCCAATTACTGCAGCCTAGCTGTAAACCACAACACAACATGTCAACCACACTTTTGAGTCGAGGGGCTGCATGGTCTTGAGGCATGGTGTCCGCCTCAAGTGCTGGAGGTCCTGGGTTCAGGCCCTGGTGAAGGCTGGGATTTTTTAATGCGGACTTCTAATAATTTTCCATCTCTGGGTAGTAAGATCAGATGCCTGTGTGCATTGTTGTGCATGTAAAAAAAAATCCCTTGGCAGTTGGAAATCGAAAAGAGTAGCCCAGGCTAAATTTTGAGTTAAAAATCTACACAATGCATTTCAGGATCTACGCCGGTGCAACGGAGTTAGTTTACTGTGCTGAGATTCTTCAGACTCAGACTTGAGTTAGAAGAAGAACGGAGCACTTATGGGTTACTACCCTTGTGCCATGATGCTGATCCGTTGTTTAAACCTAAACCTAAACACTTTTAAAATAAACAAAAAACAGAAGAAGAAGAAGAATGTCTTCCTTTTTCTGTAATGTTTTCTATGCTCATCACAGATGGGGATAATAATGCTCCACTCAACAAAAATCAAAGATGAAATATTTGTACCAATCAGCAGCCTGATTGTTGTACTTGTGTTGCTAATTAATTTTTAAATAGATAATATGCCAGAGTGCACATCACATATCTGTACAATGACCTATACAACATAGATAGATAGACAGACAGACAGACAGACAGACAGACAGACAGACAGACAGACAGACAGACAGACAGACAGACAGACAGATAGATAGATAGATAGATAGATAGATAGATAGATAGATAGATAGATAGATAGATAGATAGATAGATAGACAAATAGACAGATAGATAGACAGGCAGATAGACAGACAGATAGGCAGGCAAACATAAATATATAGACAGATAGATGGACAGAAAAATGGATGAATGGACAGTCATACAGAGCAGATAACTAAACAAAACAGAGACAGTGAGTCAGACAGACATAAAGATGGATTAACTGACATGATAGACAGACAAAAAGATGACAGAGAGAGAGAGAGAGTGTGTGTGATAAACAGACAAAGGTAGAATGACTACACACATAAAAATTTCAAACAAGCATCTTACCACAGTGAGACTGTCCTCTCTGCTACTTTACACTTGTGTCTCTCTGCCTCATTATTACACAGGAATGTACCTGAAATCAAGTCAACACAACTGTAAATGCTCAAAACCTGACAGGAATGTACCTGAAATTAAATCAACACAACTAAATTCGCTAAAAAATGACAGGAATGCACCTGAAATCAAGTCAAGTCAACTACAATTGCTCAAAAACTGACAGGAATGTAATTGAAATTAAATCAACACAACTACAATAGCTCAAAAACTGACAGGAATGTACCTGAAATCAAGACAACTCAACTACAACTGCTAAAACATGACTGGAATGTACCTGAAATCAAATCAACACAACTATAATCCCTAAAAACTGACAACAGCACGTCCCTGCCGACTTTTATTTAATCGTTTTACTATTATGTTTGAATTCATATGCTGCACCTTTTCAGTTGATTAAAGTGTTTCCAAGGCCAATGTTTTGCTCACCCATTAACTGAAATCAGCAACTTCAGTGATATATCTCACAGCATTTATGATAGTAACAGGTTCAAATACCCTATTGAGGCAATTTAAAAAACTATAACTGGGCTCCCAGGTATATCCAGCCAGTACTTACCTGGGTCCTCAAAGGACAAGAATGAGCCTCAATAGGACTGACCCATATCAGTACAGCAAAAAAAATAAAAATAAAGAGAAGACAGACAACCAAAACAGAACAGGCACCTCAAGGATAGATGACAGGACACAATAACTAAGGAAAAATATCACTACATTGGCTACAAGGAGAACAACCTAATCATAAATAACAGTCATACCCAAGACACATAAAGCACAGCCAGGACGTTTAACATGCAAAGTGGAACCTCCCACCAGCACTTTAGAGCTGACAACACCCAGACATGTTCAAAAAAAAAAACCATCACATAAAATTAGGGACAATAAGTGACAACCATTGACAGAGTAAACCATTTGAGCCACTGAATTTGGGACAAATAAAACTCTATCACAATTATAACAGAAGCTTTGTTCGACTCTTTATTTTAATTTTACTTTCTTAAATAATGAACAAATGTCTATCCAGCCTGTCATGGGTGCCAGGATATATTATGGGAAGTAGAAGTGGTGATGGGATACCAATCATAACACCCATCGACTGCCCATTGTGCCATTTAACACACACACACACAAAATGATGCTTGCTCCACATACCTCTGTATATAATTAATCTATAATAACTTTTTTTATAATGAGGCTTGCTTAACCCACTGCTGGATTCTTTACAACAGTTGTAGAACCAGCCAAAAACTGACACAAAAACAAAAGTCTTGACTATCAATTTATGTAAAATAATTATCTATAACAATTAAACATGTCAATCACGGACAACAATCAAACACAATCAACAATCACAGACTTTAAACCCACCAAAATTTGAAGAGTAGGCGTGTTGAAAAAGGATAACAAGAAACCGCTCACTGAACTCAAAAGAGCATGGAAACTGTTGCCAAATCTGGGGATAACATGAACAATCAATAAATAAGTACAGAGATTAAAATTATGTAAAAATACTTTTACATTCAGACAAAAGTAATAGAAAATTGCCTGGTAAACAAAAATTATGCAAGAAGTTTTAAAATGTTGATATAATTTTAAAAATGTGTTAATGTAGACAAAAGTAATGCAAAATGTTTTCATCCAGACCAAAGTAACTGACAAATTTTATTTATCCAGACAAAGGTAATACAAATAAATTACTTGTATAGACAAAAGTAATGCAAAAATCTAAAAAAAAATTAACAAGACACTGTCAGCTGATAACTGAATAGTGTATAGATGCTGATTACTCCTGACGAGTTCTTGCTGGTTACACATCTAACTACTCAGTCTAATCAACATATAGTTTATATTCATATATATAGATGAGAGGAGTAAACCTAGGCCATGTTTCAAGCACACACAAAATGGTGTTGGGGGGAGAAGGAGAAACGTTCTTGTCTGTTCATATTGTGCCATATTAAATGCCTTTAAGCATCTGAGTGGTAAAGAACAGCTTAGTGGTCACCAGATTTAATATGGTGAGCTCACAAGTCAACAATTATGGAAGACTAACATGGAAGTACCAGAAGTGATGGGGGCGGGGCACCCTGCTGGTCTCTAAATTCATATCTTACAATAATGTAAATATTCAGAAGTAGAGAAAACCAGCATCCACTGGAAGACATTTCAAGATTATGTTAAGATTGTCTCCAAATTTGGCAACAATATATCTTCTTCATATTCACCGGCTGTAACTCCAGTGGAAAGTTCTGGTTGTTCATCCACTTCTCGACTTTGGTCTTGTTCCAGAACTTGAGTTTTGCATGCTCATCCATTTTACAGATCTGGGTTATTTGTATGCAGATGGTTTCTCACCTCTCAGACAGATGTACTCTGACTTCAAAGCAAAAAAAAGTTAAATGTACCATTTTGCAGCCTCCTAGTGGACTCCAGAGGTGGAACAGGCATGGAAAGATAAAAGGGCAACAGTCAAGAGATGGAACATGTCAGGGCGAACTAGACAGAGTTGAAGAAGAAAAGGAAGTAAAGGTAGCAATGTTCAAAGTCCACAGAGACCAAAAAGAAAAAAACTGAAGAATTTTGTCTGTAATATTGAGGGTGACAGGACTTTAGGTAAACTCCAGAAGTTCCAAAGATAAATGAAGTCAAACGATCAACTAACATCAATGAGGATGGTATATAATGATTCTAGCAAGGCACTGACAACAGAAAAGGAGAAAGGAGAAAGATTCATAGCACAGTTACCAGAATGATAGAGACAGTAGAGTTAAAAGTAGAGAAAAACCTAATACAATTGGTCAAACCAGATAGATATGAAAATTTAATACAAGTTAAGAACATCAGAAACATTCTGAAAAAATGAAAGATAATGAGGGCTAGATGTATGATCTACTACCCAAGGTATGTACCATCCTTATTATTTGTTTGTAAAAATATTTTTATGTTTTTAAACCATAACTAAGGAGCTCAACAAACGCTTACCCAGTGACTGTGCGGCAGTCATGCCCAGATGGAGTTAAATATAGATATTTGAAAGACATAAGTGAAGAGGACCTGGAGGAAATGGTGGAGATATTCACTAACAGTATAAAAAATGGCATCTCTTCCCCAAGAATGCTACATAGCTACCTCATTCCAGTGCCCAAGCAATGCAAGGATCACTCCCAACTAATGTGTACCTGATCATCGCCCTGCAAAATACATTCAGTAAGGTTCCTGAGAAAACAGTGGCTAACACGCTACAGAGGTTCCTGGATGAAAACCTACTAAAGGGACTACGCAGCTACTGACCACGAATGGACACCTAGATGAATGTGGCAGTATTTGCCTATGACATATATGAAAAGTTCCAAAACAGAATGGACATGGTTGCAGTAGCAATTGATCTAGAGGGTGCTTACAATCGAGTCAAATAAGGAACCCTTCTACATTTGCTGTTGGATATACAAGTCTGTTTCTTGAGTGTTAACTGGGTGGTAGCAGTCCTGTATGAACACAGGGTAGCGATGTGGCTGGGCTCCTGGACTTCAGACCCGTATACCATCACACCTGTTTTACCCCAGGGGTCAGCCATTTCACCTGTGCTCTATAATGTCTATAAAGATAGGATTACGGCCACTCAGGCACAAGGAATTGCAAGGGTGCTCACATTTACAAATGATGTGCTGGCATATAGGCAGGGTAGGGATAGAAACAGGATATCGGAAGAGCTCCAATTGGTGTTGGATAAGAATGATCATTGGTGTGGTGTCACAGGATCGTTATTAACCCAAAAAAAGGCTCAACATTATGGTGTTCAATGGACAACAAAATTGCCAAGGCAGATGTCCCCAAGATAACAATAAATGGAAAAGTGGCCAGAAGGTAAAACACACTTAAATATTTAGTCATTACATTTGACAGAGGATTGTCTTTCAAAGACGACGTCGATGCAGTTATCGTAAGAGCAAAGAAAGGATTTAATGTTCTAAAGGTTATGGCTGTTGCGGATGTGGAACAAGGAATGTTATACACACCCACTCAGAGCCTAGTTATGTCAACCACCTAATATGGTCTGTGAATGCTAACCATGTCAAAGACTCAGCTGAAGAAACTGGAATGCATACAGAATGAGGGGGAGCCGCAGTGGTCTAGCAGCTAGATGCTCGCCTGCAGATCACAAGGTCATGGGTTCGGTTCTTGACTAGGATCGGATTTTTTTTTTAAATGACCTTAGCTCCTAGGTCGACAGAGCCTTAAGTAGGTACAAGATAAAGTCCTGGGAAGCAAAGGTGGCTGGCGTGATGCTGACCACATAACCCACCAAGTACTGTTGGTCTATAAAATATAGGTCTAGCCCTATACACCCAATACGCCTGAATGGTGTGGAAAAGAGTCCTTCACTTTACTATACAGAATGAGGCTATGTGAACCATTCTGGGATGCACAAGGGACACATTAGTTGTGTGTATGAGACATATCTTGGCCATGCTGACAGGCATCATACACTCCAGGCTGGGTAATACCTTTGAGTGGCAAGTGACACGGAGCATATCCTGCATAGTGAATTGGACACTGTGAAGGGTGACAGACTAAAGAGGTGCAGATCCTGGATCACCCAGGCTGAAAGACAACCAACAGGGTCTGCAACATTCAAGAAATCGGTAGAGAAGAAGAATGGGTAAAGGTATCAGAGGGCAGAGAAGAGGTGCACAAAGTGGTAATTACCTTGGGACGAGAGTGCAAGGAATGGGAGAGGGAAGGTGCAGATGCAGATGTTCAACAGCTGATATAGGACAACTCTAGGCCAGGGGATATGATTTTATAATAAACTGATGGGTCAGTTGACAGGGTTAGGAAAAGTGGATGGGGCTTCATTGCAAAAGCATGGGGGAGAAAGATAACTGAAGACAGCTTGGAATATGACATCAGAACCCACATGGGGAAAATAATATAAAGATACAAGGATTACCCACCTGCCATACACAGTCAATGAAGAGCAAGAATACTGGAGACTCCATTCTCTGTTTGGTTATAGCATATGCTGATTTGTTACATCGTATACGGAAAGGGTGACCGGCTTGTATCCACTCCCTCTCTATCAAAGCCTCAAATCTGTGAAAGTCAGAATAAAGACAATGTATGCTGGTTTGTCTGTCTGTCTGTCTATCTATCAACATTATCCCGTAACAGTACGTGTTGTTGGGTCATCAACTGCTGTTAACTGTGATCAGCTCTCTCCACCTTTGATGGTCAGATGCACTGGACTTCATGGCTGCATGCCTATCAATCAAAATCTGTATTCAGTTCTTTCTTGGTCTGCCTCTTCTCCTCTTCCTCTCTACTGAGCCTTGTAGTATTGTTTCTGAGAGGCCATTTGAGCTTATTACATGTCCGTACCATTGTATTTTCCTCCTTTTCATTGTAGTTAAAAGAGGCTCATAGTTGCCAATATGCTGGTTAACTATACGGTGAACCCCGTCATTTGTGATGTGGTACCTGTATGATATGCCAAGAATGTTTCAGAAAAATCTCATTTCCAATGCTTGTATCTTCTTTTCTAGTTCAGCTGTTAAAGTCAACGCTTCATAGACATATGTAAACTTACTAGTAACCACTGCTCTGAGAAGCTGTAGCTTAGTTTTCTTCTAGATGTTTTTGAATCTCCATAATATTTGCTGTTTGGCAAGGACCCGATGTTGTCTGGGCAATCCTAGACATGATTTCTGGTCTGGACCCTCGGTCACTTAAAATGGATCCTAAATATTTGAAATGACCGGCGTGTTCCAATTTGTGACCTTTTAAAAAAAACGTACATCTGTGTAGTTATGCAAGACTTTAAACAGTGTTACAGTCAAATAATTTTTATGGGACACATTAACAGACTAGGAATAGATCAATCAGAAATGAGGGGAAATACTTCTTTATCTGTTGTCCTTTTTTCCTGGTGTGGCAAGGGTGTGGAATGATCTTATCCTTAACTTTATCCTATTAACTAGGATGTAAATAGTTAAAGAACAAATGAAAAGGTTTCATCATCTGACAAAAATGCCCAGAAGCAACTAAAGCATCCAATGTGGGTTCTGGGGCCCATTTTTTTCAGGGGTGAACAAACCCATTGCACCCCCCCCCCCCCAACAAGCATGTTAAAAAAAGTGACTAATTGGGGTTATGCTGAAATCTGATGTATTGGGCCGAAAGGTGCAGATAATATGCTTAAATCTGATATATTGGGCCAAAAGGTGCAGATATTACAGTATTGGGCCGAAAGGTGCAGATAATATGCTTAAATCTGATGTATTGGGCCGAAAAGTGCAGATAATATTCTTAAATCTGATGTATTGGACAAAAAGATGCAGATATTACAGCCAAGCTGTAAACTACATGTGCCAAGCGCCATTTAAGGGCAAAAGCAGACACAGAAATCATTAAAGTATAATAAATATAATAGTTTGACCACCTATCAAATAGTGAAGAAATATCAGCACATAGCAATTTAAAGATCATGCAAAAGACTATTTAAAAAAAAGAAAAAATTTAAAAAATCACAGGGAAATGAAGACCAGCTTGCATTGCAAGTTAGAAAGATATTTACACCTACCACCCTTACTTCAGTGAGGTAAATGGAGAATGGACGAAGCAAAAGAATAATTCAATTTTGTATACAACAATTACTGAACTATTTAATTTGGTATTGAGACAATATACAGATTTCCAGCCTAATTTGACCGATTTGAACGGTTATTTGTTTCTAGTTGCAGGTTGCTGATGCAATTATCACATTTCAGGATTGGTTTAAAGGTTGCATCGCCCCGATACTGAGCTGAGTACTCTGTGCGACAATCTGAGCTGTCAATGTCCGTTTGGAGTATTTTTTTGTTTCTGTTGTGCCCACTGTGTTTTGAGTGTGTTGTGAACTGCACTAAAATGGAGGGTGGCTTGTTACGCTTCAAATGGCATGTATTCTGGCGGGACTGACTGCTGGCATCAACAGTGGGCTGCAATTATAGTAGGAATGGCAATTTTGGCACATCAGATGCTGCCTTATACATTTACTTTGCATAGGCGAGCTTCAAGATTGAGCTGGGATTGTGTTTTTACTAGATTTTTAAAAATGGGGTAGTGAAGGACATTTGGTGTTAATTCCACTGGCACAGAAAGGAAGCATTTCTGGGGACACTCAACTGCAGTGAAGTTGGAACCTAGACTAATGAGATCATACACGTCACTCAGTGTACCACTGAAAATCATTCTATGTGCCACACTTTGGCCCTTGTCTGAGGGCTAGATTACTACCCAAGATATGTACCATCCTTATTATTTGTTTGTAAAAATGTGTTTATGTTTTTAAACCATATCTAATAAGGAGCTCAACCAATGCTTACCCAGTGACTGTGCGGCAGTCATGGTCTAGAATAATCTGGGAAAGTGAAGAGACCAAAAGTGTTGTATCCAGCCCTTCGGAACCATGCACCAATACTGAAACACCTGCCAAGCAAGAAACATGAAAATGTTTAGCACATAAATATGTATGCCGTTGCTTTCAGTAAATCTTGGAAAATCAGTTTAACTATTAAAGATAGTTAATAATGATGCAGAGATAACTGAAATATTTGAGCCACATAAATAGACATAACAAACTTTTAAAAACATGCTGGAGGGGAAAGTCAAAGGTAAGAGAGCAAAAAGAAAATAACAATACAAGTGGGTGGAAAAATCAAAAGATGGATGAACATCAGCCTGAGAGAGTGTATAAGACAAACAAGATAAGAGACAGAGCGTGTTGGAGGTCTGTTGCGGCCAACCTTCACTGTGGAGGCAGCATCTGATTGACCCATCACCAAAATATACCCTCCATAGGGTTCTGTGTTGTAATGTTTGAGATGAGAAGCCTTACAGGGTTCATTTACCCTCTTACCAAGAGAAAGCCATTTTTCTTAATTTTATAGATTTTAGTTGACATGATTGACTGACGGACATTCAACCCCACAAGAACATCACACCGAGCGATAAACACCCGGTGATACAAAGTGCCACCATATGGATGAGGATCACTCAGGGATAGGTTCCAGAAATCTTGTTCAACCGTTAGGTTATATTAGGGCCCCCGGACCACAACCAGTGTGGAGCTTTAAAACAACAACAAAACTGCATCCCAAATTGGGATGGCACTAGCATACTGTGGTTGACATGATGTCTTTGGACAGTGCCCAGTACACCTGTAGGACAGCTTAGCTAATGGCTCAACTGCATGGTGTGTAGACATTTGTATGTATGATTATATTTACATCACAAATTAGTTAAAGATATTATTTGTGGTGAAAAAAAAATTCTAGATTCACAAAGATGTCCAATAATTTCACTATATGTCACATTGCTCTCTATGACAAAGAGACAACAACTTCTAAATTGTTACTTTCCTTTGCGTGGAAATAAAAATGTACTCAATTTATACATTTAGTGGCTAGAAAAAAAATGTAATTTTCAATTTTAAGTGATGTAATGTCATGAAAGAGGCAGCCGACTCCACGCCCGCATGTCTTCTCATACATGCTTCGTGCAAGTGGCAAACATCACTTCATAAGTCCCGGGTAGTTAGCGTCCTTTGAATATTTTCTCCAGGTCATGCCGGTGTGTTTGGAAATGAGCAGGCCGACTGGTGAATTGATGTATGACCAGCTAGATGTTGTGAGGGCCCTTTGGGAGCGAGTGAACAGTTCGGAGGCACAAACAGATCATTTTGGTCTGAGGAGAATGGTCGATGCTCAACACTCAAGGGAAGGGCGAGATTTACTGATACCATCGGAACTGGAACTCTTTACTAGCTGCTGAAGATGGGGACAGAGCACTTATGGGGGTGTCCTGAGTGCTGTGATGTTGATTCCTAATTCAACAATCAACATTAAACACATCTTCTCAGTAGTACAGATGTTCAATCCCTGGATATTTTTAAACACTGACCAAGACTCAAACTTCCTTCTGCTTCTTCTCTTTTGCTAGTTTCTTTTTTAGGGTAGAGTATTAAAGCATTATAAGATCGTATTTAAAAAAAAATGTGAACACAGGTCTTTTTTTTTACAAATTTTCACAAGGCAAAAAAAGGGTTGATGTAATTAGAAGAGGCCAGCTCAGAAATCACGACGAGACAAACGATAGTAGCTATGTCACGTACTGATTACTAAATTATCATCATCAAGTGGCTTGCTGACTGGATCATGACCATTCCACAACCTGTGTTCTCCAACACATCAGTCAATACATGTGCTGACACCACCACTACAAGCCATGACAAGTCTGTCAAGAATCATACTGTGCTATCTACCTCAATTTCTTTTTACACAAATCTTTCTAGTGGCTGATTACAAAGAAGGGCAGACAATGGGGAAATGTACACATGCCCCCCCTCCCTCCCCCAAAAAAAACATGGACCTGGAACCCATACAGGGATGTGTGTATAGACGAAACAAGGCCCTCCATGATAACTTGCAGGAAAAACAAAAGACTTACCATCTTTGTCCATGCTCTGGGCTACAACACAGGCAGTTGTCAGAATGTCCTTGACATGTGTAAGCCAGTTGCTTGACTCCAGCTTGGATAACCATTTATCCATACTGCTGTTACTGTCATTGCAGGCTGGATAGATAACGGATGTCAAGTTTGAAAACCGGTTGAGAAAACTGTTCACAATCAAGAATGTTTGTTTAAAATGCAATCCAAATTTTACAAAGAAACATTTCATTCCTAAAATCACAGGTATCTTCCACTTTTGACTCCAAGTATCATGGGAACAACTGGCAGCCTAACTTGGTTCCTGTCACTGCGTGGGAATACAGAATGTCTTTAATGTCATCAATGAGTATACTTCTACACCCTCTTGCTCCTAAAGGACAATTTTAACACAAGTAGCACAAATTAGGGATATGATGCAGGACTAATATTTTTATAGACCATTCGGCACTCAGTTGGTGATTTGATCAACATGATGCTAGCCACCTTCATTTCCAAGGACATTACCATTTTAGGTTGGGTTGACAGATGAAAGGCATTCCACATGAAAAACAGCTCACAGGGCTGCACCACACACTAATCCCAGTAGCTCAGGCATTGTAGTTTCTTTACTCTTTCAGTACCAAGATACTCACGTGTCATGGTATTCAATATGGCTGGTAACCGGTTTACATGTGAGCTGGTGAAATATCTTATGTAATAAATTCTACCTGTGTATAGCCAACTTATCATACCCGACTATTTCCATCAAAGTCAAACTGCATTTCTGGTGTCGACTGTCAACTTTGACATCTCTAGCAACTGCCATATGCACTGCATGCGCATATTTCTGAATTGTTCCAGGACTAATTGTTTGTTGACTAGCTTTTCCAATGAGGCAGTGAGGTACATATTATTTTTACTGGCACAGGAAAGCAGCAAGTTTGGGAAAACCTGTCTGCAGTCAAGTTATGACCTTGACTAAGACACTCAATGGGTGCCATTCCAGCATGGTTTACAGAGAAATTACAAAAAGTGGATAAACTTACATGATATGGAGCAGTAATAAGAGCAACAATTTTCTAAAGTACTAATAGTTACAAAAAGAGTGTATAAACAATAAAAGTGCTTGTTAAGTGAGCGATGTTCAACCCCACCACGACCGTGCAACAAGCGATAAACAACCGGTGACACAATGTGCCACCATTCGGATGAGAATCATCCAGGCATAAGTCCCAGAAACCCCGTTCAACTGTTAGGTTATATTATGGCCCCTGACAACAGGCAGGGTAGGGCTATAAATAACAAAACGAAAAATTTGCATCCCATAATGGGGCGGAGTTGTTATAAATGCTTGGTGTAGAATCAATTCTTATTCAATAACGACAACAACAAACTGGTTTCAGAAATGAACATACCTTCTATCATTTTGATGAGAGAATCATGGAAGGACTGTCTACGTTCGATGGGCTGATGTATCCTTCTCCACTGTGGGTAGTGGGCCTCTAGCTCGTATCCTCCACCTAGAGACAGACACAACAACAGTGTTAGAATGTGGTGAAAGTGAGCAGAAGTAGCAGTGTTTAGTTCGCTTGCCTACACTATAGAGGGGTTCAATTACACACAAAGATAGGATCACTTCCCTACAGTTCTGGTCTCAGTTCCACATAGGAATGGGATCTATTCTTAACCATGGCGTCAGTTCAACACAGGTCTATTCTCAATCATTGGCTCAATTCCACATAGGGATGGGATCTATTCTCAATCATGGGCTCAATTCCACACAGAGATGGGATCTATTCTCAATCATGGGCTCAATTCCACACAGAGATGGGATATATTCTCAATCATGGGCTCAATTCCACATAGGGATGGGATCTATTCTCAATCATGGGCTCAATTCCACATAGAGATGGGATCTATTCTCAATCATGGGCTCAATTCCAGAGATGGGATCACTCCTCACAACCATGGGCTCAATTCCACACAGAGTTGAGACCACTCATTTAAAACCATGGGATTACTTCCACAGGCTTATAGTATTAATTCCCCCACAGTTCTGGAATTAATTTCCAGTATTATATTAAAGCCCCCACAGTTCTGGGATTAATTTCCACATAGTTCTTATATCAATTCCATCTCAGTTCTGGGATTAATTTCCACATAGTTCTTATAGTATCTCCCCCCACCCTCCCCAGTTCTAAGATTCATTTTCACATCATTTTCATAGTAATCCCCCCACAGCTCTGGGATCAGAGCAGAATGTGACAAAATCAGCCAACCTCAATACTTGTATACAAACTGTCTAACCCAATGATGATCTTTTTCTTTTCTTCCCCCTTCATTTACATGGAATATGTACACATCTCTAGTTTGTTTTCTGTGTGAACTCTGCCATAATGATGATGGTGAAGAAGAAAATATAGTGGAGAAGCGTAAAGTATCTCAAAAAGAAAAGAAAAAAAAAGCAACTAACATACAAATGTTTGCAACTCTACATCCACAAACCTTTACTCTGTGCCACTTTAGCCACACTTTGGGCTCGTGTGTCGATAATGTACCCACGTTTCCCCATTCCCATGACAGAATTGACCAGTCGTTCATCCTCCTTGCATCGTTTCCCATTGGGCCCAGTAAGAGGTTGACTGCTTCTCATGAGGACTGTCTGTAAGAATAAATGTACAGTTGAAACACTTAATAAGAGAACAGAATGGAAAATTTAAATAAAGCTGGTTAAAAGCAAAAGATCAACTTCATTGTTCTAAGTTGTAATCACATATTGGTAGGAAAGTTTCCACATAAGGCTGGTTTCCTGCCAAGAACACTGCAGAAAGTACAACTTTGTAGCTCATGAACTCAACGATGCACCCTTCAGAACATGCAGTAACATGGATAGACTAATTCCCCATGGAAACTCCCAGCCTTGCAGGAAGCTAATCCAACAGCAGTGCAGATGTTCCTAGTTATATCTTCTATGAAAACTTGTTTACCATAAGAACATTGGCATTTCAGTGGGAGATATAACAAGAAAAACAAAATTACAAGTGTATTACTTTCTACATAGAAAATAATAAGTAAATGGCCAGACTTCTTTAGTATGTTCTGACTAAATGCATGAAGTACAATCACACATGATTTGCTGATTGGGACATTAAATCTCTAGTTTCGTAATCTGATAATAAGGGTTTGGACCAGCAAGGTGGTGGACTGTTTCAAAATTAACCTTTGCTCCCAGGTCAAACGTGCCTCCTTCTTCTCAGGACCACTTCCTTGATTAATACAAAGACAAGTTGTGAAAAAACTGACTGTTTTTTGGAGTTCTTATTTCTTACAAACTAAACAAATATACCAGATGGCACAAATTAACAGTATAACAGATGGCACAAATTAAAAATACAGCCGATGGCACAAATTAACAAAATAGCAGATGGTACAAACTTAACAATATACCAGATGGCACAAATTAACAGTGTACCAGATGGCACAAATTAACAATTTAGCAGATGGCACTAATTAACAATATAGCAGATGGTACAAACTAAACAATATAGCAGATGGTACAAACTAAACAATATACCAGATGGCACAAATTAACAGTATAGCAGATGGCACAAATTAACAATACAGCCGATGGCACATTAACAATACAGCCGATGGCACAAATTAACAATATAGCAGATGGTACAAACTAAACAATATACAAGATGGCACAAATTAACAATATACCAGATGGCACAAATTCACAATATAGCAGATGGTACAAACTAAACAATATAGCAGATGGTACAAACTAAACAATATACCAGATGGCACAAATTAACAGTATAACAGATGGCACAAATTAAAATTACAGCCGATGGCACAAATTAACAATATAGCAGATGGTACAAACCACGGCCAGCTCCAGATTTATAAGGCCGTACAGCTCGAATAGGAATTCCCGTTCTTGTGCAAGAATTGAGTCCCTCTGCGTCCAGTTTTTATCGAGGAGATGTATACACAAATTAAACTACAGTTTCATTAATTTTCGACATATTTTTTAGAACTATACGTCATTTTTAAGGTAAATAAGTGTGCCAATTAAATATAACAATAAAGGCTCTTACAGACAAACAAAAATGCTTTTACTACAGTCAACATGAACATAAACATCAATAACGTTTAGATGTAAACTAAAAGTTGTTCCAGCAAAAGTAAAGAAATATCAGTGCTAACTCTTTGATTCTGAGAGGGTATTGTTGCATCAGAGGAGGGGGGGGGGGGGAAAGAGAAATTGGGGTGACATTTGTACTTTATCAAATTTATAGCATAAAAATACTGCTATGAAACATACACATGTCATACATAACATGAATATAAATAATTGATGGTTATTATTATTATTAGTAGACTACTACAACATGTAATTATACTGTTATTTAATAATTAGTAAACAAGCACAATCAGCATGAAATTGATATGTGCAATACTTTTTTCACCCAGAGTAGTTTTCTTAACAGTACTTATAGCACTACTAAATATGTATCCTCAAAGTACAAACAGCACAAACAAATTTGTCCAGTTTCATCTTGTTGGATGAAATCAATTCCTCATCATTGCGAATTTTTTGGTAACAAATATGCAAGGAAAGTGGATGAACAACCAGAAGTTTCTGCAAGAGTTTACAGCCAGTGTTCGCGAAGCAAAGCAAAAGCCAGTTTACAAAAGTTAACACAGACCGTAGAACTGCAAATATGCAAAAGAAGTGGATGAACTACCAGAAGTTTCCGCAAGAGTTTACAGCCAGTGTTCACGAAGCAAAGCAAAAGCCAGTTTACAAATATTAACACAGACCGTACAACTGCAAATATGCAAAAGAAGATGAGCAACCAGAAGTTTCCACAAGAGTTTACAGCCAGTGTTCGGGAAGCATAAGTCAAATGGTTAAGGATTAATATTATTAGTGTACTGCTACAACATATAATTATACTGTTAGTCAACAATTAGTAAAGAGGCAAAGAGTGACTTGCTGTGAGAGGTTAGTTAGTAAATTAAATATTATTTTCATCCACTTACCTAGAGCTCTGAAATATCTTGACACAATTTATCAACAGTGTGGTTGCACCATTTATGCACAGTCAATATGAAAGCAATAGTTTTCTTCAAACACAAGATAGTTTGCACCTGACAACTGTCGATATTCTCCAGATATGGCTTCTAAATTACCTGTTTGTATTATCCCTAAAAGTAAGATTTCTACATTTAAAGTAGAAAAGTAATAAACAGCCAGTTCCCAAAAATCTGAATTACTGACTAAAAAAAGTGACACTGACACACACATCACAACACGACTGTCTCCCGTGAATGACAATTAAAATTGCTGTAATCTAACAGCTTGTATGTCCATTTTACAATATCCGCTTGTCGATTTGTAATACGAATACAATCAGAACACAGAAGTTTGTAAGCATATTATAATGTCACAAAATGCAGCATGGAAACGCTTGCAGTAACCTATTTCCGAGGGGACTCAGCCAAAATGTGCCGTGATTAAGTTGTACGGCCTTACTGGAGCTGGCCGTGGTACAAACTAACAAAATAGCAGATGGCGCAAATTAACAATATAGAAGATGGTACAAACTAACAATATGGCAGATGGTACAAACTAACAATATGGCAGATGGTACAAACTAACAATATGGTAGATGGTACAAACTAACAATATGGCAGATAGTAAAAACTAACAATATGGCAGATGGTACAAACTAACAATATGGCAGATAGTAAAAACTAACAATATGGCAGATAGTAAAAACTAACAATATGGCAGATAGTAAAAACTAACAATATGGCAGATAGTAAAAACTAACAATATGGCAGATAGTAAAAACTAACAATATGGCAGATGGTACAAACTAACAATATGGCAGATAGTAAAAACTAACAATATGGCAGATAGTAAAAACTAACAATATGGCAGATAGTAAAAACTAACAATATGGCAGATAGTAAAAACTAACAATATGGCAGATAGTAAAAACTAACAATATGGCAGATAGTAAAAACTAACAATATGGCAGATAGTAAAAACTAACAATATGGCAGATAGTAAAAACTAACAATATGGCAGATGGTACAAACTAACAACATGGCAGATAGTAAAAACTAACAATATGGCAGATGGTACAAACTAACAATATGGCAGATAGTAAAAACTAACAACATGGCAGATAGTAAAAACTAACAATATGGCAGATGGTACAAACTAACAATATGGCAGATGGTACAAACCAACAAATATGGTAGATGGTACTAACTAACAATATGGCGGATGGTAAAAACTATCTATATGGCAGATGGCACGAACTAATAAAAAGGGAGATGGCACAAATTAACAATATAGCAAATGGTACAAACTAACAATATAGCAGATGGTACAAACCAACAAATATATTAGATGGTTAGGTTAGTTGCGTATCCTTTACAGGACGTTGCAGAACCAACCCCAACAGCCCCTGACTGTGTGGTTTTTTAGGCAAATTTACGTTCAAAGGTTTGCCATCGCTTTTTGACAGTCGGTTTTCTTGATACCACTGTCAAAACCAACGCAAGGCCCGCAGCTGGGATCAAACTCAGCATCACGGCATTATGAAGCGTTCGCAACGACTTAGCCACAGAAAAGCATATGGTACAAACTAACAAATATGCCAGTTGGCACAAACCAACAAATATGGCAGATGGTACAAACTAACAATGTGGCAGCTGGCACAAACCAACAAATATGGCAGATGGCACTAACTATCACCTTGGAATCTTTGTGGTAGTAGCTGAGAACTGGAAACCGCCCACCATGTCTAAAGGCGGCAGCTTTAGTGATGGTATCATCATCCACACTCTTTGGAACAAACAATGCTTGTGGATATGTAGAACAGACCTGGTGGGAACAAAAGATCACATGTTTTACCAGCAGGTGAGTAATGGAGATGATACACACAAGTTACTTCAAGTTTGCAATGACCTACTGACCCATTGGCTGGATTACAGGAATTATATCAGGAGGCAGGAACTTCACTATGATAAAAAAATTAATTCTCAATCAGCTTAGCCACCAAGCCTGGCATATCAGTTTTGCAAAAGCAAATTACAAGACACTGCATATTTCAGCAGCAATCTGCCGCAGAGTTGGCAAAAACAAAACAGTGATTAGACTTGCCTGTTATATCAACTGCTGCATCTTGAATTATCCACAAGCCAGTCACTAACTGTTGCTAGTGTGTAATGACAGTGAACAGAAGTAGAAGGAAAAAGATGTTTCAGTGTGACTTGCATTGTCAATCAGGTGCAGTGTCAACAGTGAAAGTTGGCAGCAATGGATCTCCAACATGCTCCGACTCTTATCTTAGTTGTACACTCCCTCAGACTGCTGCCCATCCATCTCGTCATATTATCCTCTCATTTGTATCGTTGTCTGCCTCTTGCCTTTCCCTCCAGTGTGTTATGTCTTTAAAAGCCAAAGTATTTCAACTGTCTCTTTTTTATTTCTTTCAGTAAGTCTCTTTTCATTTGTAGCCTTTCCATAACCTCTGTATTGGACTGTTTTTGTTTCCATGAAATATGATTTATTCTTCTGTACATCCACATCTCCAGAGACTCAATTCGCTTTTTCAACACTGTACCAGGTCCCCCCCCCCCCCCTTTCTACATGACTTGCTCTTTCTTCTCAGAGTGACTGGCTGTCTGCTGTGAGTATCAAACAAAGCAGGGAACTTCACAGATGTGGCATGGATTTCTACAAACTCCTGCACTTGGGAAATGAACAATGTCTGAAGACAAACCCATTACCTTCAGTGCACTAGACAAATGATTAACCATTTTGCATGCAGAATCAAATCAAAACAAACCTTGAAATCCTTATTGACGTATGAAATCCTCCAGTCTTCAGAGCACTCCTTGAACCTGTTAAACTCTGTCTCCGGGCTGAAGGCTTGCCAACCATTCTCTAGTACTTCAAACATTGGTCTCAAGAAGAATGGGTACCTTAGTGTTATATCATCTGTGGAAGGTTGACAAACAAAATATAAAGAGTATATCTCAATGTGATATCATCTGTGGAAGGTTGACAAACACAATATAAAGAGTATATCTCAATGTGATATCATCTGTGGAAGGTTGACAAACATAATATAAAGAGTATCTCTCAATGTGATATCATCTGTGGAAGGTTGACAAACATAATATAAAGAGTATATCTCAATGTGATATCACCAACAGAAAGCAAATCATCAGCTGAGCTGAGCCAAAAACTGGTATCATAGCATTCAGGACATTCCAATGTGCACTTTGTCCTCATCTTCAGCAGCCAGAATTCTGATGGTACTAGAAGCAGTTTCATCAAATGTCTGTCCTGCCTTTCTTCTGAGTGTTGACTGTCAGCTCTACCTCCATCATACTCTCCACATCATAAAGATCTAGTTGTGATCCCTCATGTTCACTTCCCCCTAAAGGGCCTTGACCACATCTAGCTTGCCATGCCTTAATTCACTACCCAGTGCTGCAGTACCAGCCAATCTGTCTGCCTTTTCATTTCTTAAGACAATGTCATACAGCAGATGGATCTAAAGGATGCTAACTACTGAAAACTTCTGAAGTGATGCTTGCCATTCTGTACACAGCATACCTTTCCCCACCGTTCACAGAATGCTTTGCCAGTCTGTTTCAATTATGTCATGCATATGCAGCTGATTCTCAAGCCAGAAAAAGCTGCTGCAACTGCCTCCACCTTCACTCTAAAACTAGATGTTGTGATATTCTATCCTAGATTTTATTGCATTAAGGACATCCATTCACTTTTGCAATAACCTCTCATGAATCTTCCCTTCCTATCTCTCAACGTATGAATGTATGTTTGTATCTATGTATGTATGTTTGTGTGTACGTATGCCTGTGTGTATGTGTGTATGCATGTTTGTTTGTATGTATCTGTGTATGTATGTATGTAATGTATGCATGCATGTTTGTGTGTGTAAGTGAGTGGGTGAGCGCGTGTATGTGGGTGTATGTATGCACGCGCGGGTTTTTGCATGCACTTTACAACTCATGCTGTTGTGTTCTTTTATAATATTCATAATATGCATAACATCATATGATCATAACATGCTTTATTAGTAAAATACAACTGCTGTGCGAAAGATGGTTGACTGGAAGGGCCGAATGTAAGACGGGCCTGCGTGCCCAATTTGTGACCCTTCGAAAATAAAGTTCGTTCGTTCAACACAGAGCCATCTTTATAGACAATCATCAATTCGGCGAGATTTTGTCATGATTCATTTGTTGAATTTCAGATTCTGCAGCGCCTGCTGGCCATCCTGATGAGTGGAGCAAATGAGAATTATACTCAATAAAACAGTTATTTACCAATATTGGACAAAGACTCAATGGAGGAAGCCACATTTATACAGTCATCAGCAGATGGGATATCCAGGTACAGGATGAGGAAATTCTTGCACTTGAGAGTCAGTGTTCCACCACTTCCACTGAGCTTCTTCTCAACACTGTCAATGTTGTCATGGAGTAGCTGTAAGTCAATGGAAAACAAAGTAAGTATTTGAAGTAATGGAAAACTAATAAGTTTCTGAAGTAATGGAAAAAAAAGTAAGTATTTGAAGTAATGGAAAACAAGTAAGTATTTGAAGAAATAGAAAAAAAAGTAAGCATTTAAAGTAATGTAAAACAAAGTAAGTATTTGAAGTAGGGCTGTACCGAATATTCGCTTCGTGGCCGAATAGTGGACCTATTGACTATTCGGCCGAATAGTTGCGGTCGGGCCGAATACGAATAGTAGTTACCTTACACCTACTTCTGCACACACAGCCTTAATGCTGACAACATGGAACGATTGGTTTTGTTGAAAGCTAATACAGCTTTCCTGTATTAACTAAGCTGTCAGTGACAATTTCCAAGTTTAGTTACTTGTTATAATACTTAGGATTCTTTCATTACTAGTTATTAGTTACCACAGACTGACTGAAGGATGCAAAACATAAAATATTTTTTAATGTTTACTATTCTGTACGAATACTAACTAGACATGGAAAGAATATAAACTCCGGCCACATCCAAGTCAATAATATGAAAATCAAACGAACGGAAACATATAAGTACTTGGATGCAAACTTCAACTGCTCCAACATGCTGAGAGAATAAATACAATCTAGAATACAATCTAGAAATAAAGTATACTGTGCCCTTCAACATCCGCTAAAGTCAAAGTGTCTGTCTCGCAACACCAAGATCAAAATATATAAAACATTTATAAGACCAGTCGCTTTATACGGCTCTGAAACTTGAAGCAGAAATAAAAGAGATGAGGCCTTATTACAGTTTTTCGAAAACAGTCTTATGACAAATCTTTGGACCCATCAAAGATGCTAACACCGGGGAATGGAGAGTGAGAAGCAACAACGTAACACATAATCTGTTTAAATCACCATTGATCACTGGCATCTTGAGACTTTGACCCATCAAAGATGCTAACAGCGGGGAATGGAGAGTGAGAAGCAACAACGTAACACATGATCTGTTTAAATCACCATTGATCACTGGCATCATGGGATTTTGACCCATCAAAGATGCTAACAGCGGGGAATGGAGAGTGAGAAGCAACAACGTAACACATAATCTGTTTAAATCAGCATTGATCACTGGCATCATGAGAGCTAACAGACAAAATGGTTGGGGCATTTTGAAAGAATGTCAGATGACAGAGGCCTTATTACAGTTTTTCGAAAACAGTCTTATGACAAATCTTTGGACCCATCAAAGATGCTAACACCGGGGAATGGAGAGTGAGAAGCAACAACGTAACACATAATCTGTTTAAATCACCATTGATCACTGGCATCTTAAGATTTTGACCCATCAAAGATGCTAACAGCGGGGAATGGAGAGTGAGAAGCAACAACGTAACACATGATCTGTTTAAATCAGCATTGATCACTGGCATCCTGTTGAGCTAACAGACAAAATGGTTGGGGCATTTTGAAAGAATGTCAGATGACAGAGAAGTAAAACTGTATACACCTGAGAGAGGAATGGGCGTAGACCAAGAGGCAGACCCAAAAAAAAAAGAAGTTCCAATCAGACCTGTAAACAACAGGTGTCAAATTATGACGAGAATGCCAGTAAAAGAGATCAATGGAGACGAGTGATATCTGCAGCAGTAAACCTCAAGGGCTCAGAATGCTAAAGAAGAAGATGACTATTCTGTGCTACTTTATGTGAAGTAAGAGTTCAGCATTTATTTGACATTATGAATTTTTAATTTTTTTTAGAGAGAGAGAGAGGGGGGGGGGGGGGGGGGGGGGGGGGGGGGGGGGGGGGGGGGGGGGGGGGGGGGGGGGGGGGGGGGGGGGGAGGGGGGGGGGTGAGAGAGAGAGAGAGAGAGAAAGAGAAATTTAGCAGACTAAACAGCAAATCACAACATGTATATATAGTAGGACACTAACTAGACTGGATATAACTGTAGAAGAAGTTAGATGTCTGAGAAGGGCTGTAGGAGTGACCATAAGAGATAAGATCAGGAATGAGATCATAAGAGAACAAGTCGGCACAGAACCAATTCTGGATTACATACAAAGACAGCAAGTGAAATGGTTTGTCCACTTAGAGAGAATGCCTTGTGACACCATACCATACAAAGCATACATGGAAAGAGAAGAAGGACGTAGAGCACGGGGTAGACCAAGAACAATATGGAAGGATAACATCAGAGAAACTCTACAACAGCACGATGTGCCTATGGTCGAGGCAACCAGAAGAGCTAGAAACAGAACCTTATATCTCCCTCGACACCCACAGCGGTAAAAGAGGAAGTGAAGAAGAAGTTAGATGTGCTATAAGTGGAAAATCCAAAACCTCAGCAGGAGCGGACATTCTTAATTACAAAATAATGAAAATGTCAGGAAAAACTTTAAAGCAAATTAAGGATTTCTTTTCTTTCAGATATGGACTGGAGAAATTCCCATTATTCCTATTAAAAACCAGAAAAGAAACCTTAAAATATAGAGACTCATACAGACCAATCTCATTAACATTCCATTTAGGGAAAATCCTAGAAACTGTCATAAACAAAAGGATTACTTTCCACACACAGAAAAATAACTGAATCAGTAAAACCCAGTCAGGAATTAGAGCCAATAGGTCTTGTATGGACCTAATAATTTAACTAGAGGACCAACTGAAAACAGGATTTGAAATAGGAAATAAAAGTGTAGCAGTATTTTTATAATTAGCTCAAGCTTATGACCAGAGTTGGCGATTAGCCGTCCTATATAAAGTTAGAGACATAAGACTAGGATAAGGTGGATAAGCATATAGGCACATTAATAGCTTCTTTGAGGTCAGGACATTCTCAGTGATTGTTAACAATGACAGATTAAATATTTGTATTCAGGAGAATGGATTCTCCCAAGGTGCAGTGTTATCGCCAACAATATTCTCAATGCTGTTTGCGGATGATTGTTCAATATTTACGTGTGGTAAGTCAGTGAGGAGGCATGAAAGATTACAAACAGAAGTTAATTATGTTAGTAATTGGATAATTAACGAGGGTTTCAAAATAAATACCAGCAAAACAGTAAGCATGGTATTTAACAACAAAAGGCAACACTACTATGACAATGATACTGTTACAATTAGAGTCAGTGAAAGACCAATCCAAAGAGTAACAAGCACATAGTTTCTAGGAATGATTCTGGATGAACAGCTGAACTGGGGCAAACATAGTGATGCAATTGTAAACAAACGTAAAAAAGTTAGCAACTTTTTAAGGATAATTAAAGGCAATGGATGGGGAGCTCATCAAGTCACTCTCTTACAATTTTATAAAGCTTTACTGAGAGAGAAACTAGAATATAGAAACACTGTCTATGAGTCAGCAACTGATTGCAAAAAAACATAAACTAGATAGTATACAGTGCCAAGTCCTGGCCACCATTATGGGTGCAGGTAAAGGCACATAAGGGGAGCAATGGAAGTAGCGCTAGGTATAACACTGTTAAATCTGAGAAGGAAGCAATTAATATACTATTACTGGCTTCAGACCGCACACAATCATGATCATCCAATATGTGACACTTTTAACACCAATACAAACAAGTTAAAGTGGGTGCCAATAAGAAAAACTCTTAGGCCAGCAGAAGAGGATGCTGCGGTAAAAATGAAAACTAATAAAGAACTAGAAAGAACACTTAAACTGAGTAAAAGATATAAACCTCAGATACCACTATTAGAACTGAAACCACCATATGTAGACATGAGCCTGGCAAAATAGATTTCACAAAACAGTGATCCATTACAAGCAAGGACCGTAGCAGAGCAGCACATTAGAAACATTAAAACCGATAATATACACGGATGTGTCTAAAAATTAGAAAGGAGAAGTAAGAGCAAGTGTTTATATTCATTATCGGAAAATACAAAAATCTTATAAAATCACAGATCATACCTCAGTTTTCACAGCCGAATCATTTGGCATCATGAAAGCCTTAGAGATAGCTGCCAATAATCCCCCCTTGAAACTGACAATAATGACAGATTCTCTGTCATCGGTACAATCACTAGGAAACTATACACAGGGAAGTAGATCAGACATTAAAGAGGAGATTTTAATACTTACCTCACAACTTCGGAACAACATATATCAGATCACCATAGCATGGGTTCCAGCACATAAATTCATAGTTGGTAATAAAAAGGCAGACATTTTTGCAAAAAGAGGTACCAGCAGCCAGAATATAATAGAAACAGGCTTAGGAAAAACTGAGGGGAAGAGTAAAATCAAACAGTATATTACAGAAAAGTGGAAGAGAGTGGGAAATGAGTGCTACGGGCAAAAGGGCATGTGATAATTTAATAGAACCTGCCCTGACATCACAAGTCTAAGACAACCTAAAAATTCCAGCAAATAATAAATAATGAAAATCAGGACTTAGATACTGGAAAGACAAATTTACAGCACCCTATACTTAGACTGCTTTCATGAAAAACAACAGACCACTTCCTGCTAACATTCACCCTATTTAAACAGGAGAGAAAACCCCTGGAAGACTAATTAAGACACTGACATCCAAACAATGCTTACATGTTGACAGCAATGAGAAAATACAGAAACAAATAAAGAAATTCATTTGCAGGACACTATATATTTAAAACAACACTAGTACCCATTTGGGGTTGGCCTGAACTGGAAGCTAGGGATATTTATTTAAAAAAAAAAATCTTGCTTTTGGAGCCAAATTGACGTAAAACTTTCTCGCATGCCTCACTGATGGAGGGCACGGCACGAGTCAACCAATTTATATTTAGTTTAAGCCATGGTGAAATTATTCCATTTAATGCCTCCCTTTTTTTGTGTTTTTTAATTCTTCTTCTTTTTTCACTTCCTCTTTAACTGCTTCGGGTGTCAAGGGAGATATAAGGTTCTGATTTCTGATTTTCTTAATTGCTCTCTGTATATGCCTTTATATATTTTAGGGAAAACAAATTTCAAATGTCTACAGATAAAATTATTAATGACCTGTGACAAATTGTTGTTTTTAAAGGATTTTCTAGGGAATTCCCACAGGATCATGGCCCATTTTGTATGCATTCATTAGGCAAAAGAATTAGGGAAAACAAAAAATAACTGTAACCTATCAGGCAAGAGGCAATTTAGTAGGATTGGCATGAACTAGATGCATTGTCTTATAGAAATTTTTTCACCAGGACTATTCAGCCAACCATTAACAAAGTTTATAAACAAGAATTTGGGGACCTTGACATAAAGACCAATTCTTTCTTATTTACAGACCCAACATGAATACTAGCTTAGCTTGTCATAGCAGTAAACATGATATGACCAGGACCACATGAAAACAAGCAAAATTTGCCTCTCTTCCCTTGACATTAAATGCCAGGCACACATCATTACTTACCCAAAGCTCCTCATGGTTCTCACAGCGAGAAGATAATATTAGATGATGACCAGTCACACATAATGTGCCTTCCATATCTGGGGTGAAAGGTCGGTGGAGAACAACACTGTTAACCATTGGAGTCTTAATGAACTCCACAAACTCCATGTTTAATGAGACAGTCTAAAATAAAAAAAAGTATGAAGTTTGCACTAAAAATTTAACAAAGGTAAAGTTAAAAGTACCTAAAAAAAATTTTTGTAACTAAAAATGTCTGACTGAACTGATGAAAATTAAATAGTATGACTTTAAGAAAGACATAAATGTTAAAAAGTAAAAGTTGAGAGAATCGACTTCATTGCACCAGGTTTTATCCCATATGGCTTGGTCTCTCTCCGCAGAACAGCCAGCCACCTGCAGAGAGCACTGCGCAGAGCATGGCCTCCATAGCTCCGGCAATGATCCCATGAATCTCCGTAAAAAATGCGCTTGTGATCTTAAGGGCGTAGCAGTGGAACGAACCCATGACCTTCAGAGCGGGAGGCAAATGGCTTGACCATGGAATGTGAGTATGGATAGGAACTAAAACACCTTAGGATATGATAGAAATTAGCAAGACCAGCTCATGCCAAGAAAAGTCTTCCATGCTAAAAAGCTATTAACTTGTTAAGTCCCAAGGATTCAAAATTAAGGAATGAGAATCGCCTTGGGTTGCACATGGGACACCCCAGTTAGAACAATGAGGTATACGCTAGGGCTGACGTCGGTAAAGTCTAGCACGCAAGCCAAGGCCTAAATGCGAGTTACCAATGATGAAAGGCATCCGCTGCATAGTAATTTGAATGATTTAAGAAAAGACCGTTGAGAAGAGGAAAGTCATCGATGGCACTAACTGAAGATAGCATCGAGATGGCGGCCTTAGTCAAGCAAATACACAGGGGGCAAGAATGGATCGACATGAACACCCACAACAGCAGTTTCCATCAGGTCATTATCACGTTAGGAAGAGAATGTAGAGAGTGGTGTAATGGTATGGCAGAATTAGAGATACAACTGAAAGATGGAAAGGCTGGGCTAGATGATGTAGTAGTGTACAGCGATGGTTCTGTTTATCAGGGTGTAAGATCTGGCTGGGGATTTTCAGCTAGAATAAAGAGAAAAATTGTGGCAGAACAAAAGAGAGCTTTTTTATCTACAACTTTAAGCATGAGAACTGAAGTGGAGGCAATAACTGCAGCTCTGAAGTGGATAGCAGAAAACAGGGTTACCAGAGGAATTATTGTGTCTGATTCTCAGTCGGCATTGCAGGAGGTTCAAAATGGACTAATGTGGCATGAGTGGATACCATATATCAGTACACCAACACTGCAGGGAATCACGTGGATATACTGTCCGGGATATGCAGGAGTGCGAGGGAATGAAAGAGAGGATTTTCTGGCTACAAAAGAAAAAGCTACGGGAACACTTGTATTGGACAAGGGAGATATTCTAAAGACCATATATGAGCCTTTGCAGAAGACACAAGATTAGATGAAATAACATGGGCAAGAATGTGTGATTGAGGAATTCAGTGCGGATCCGGCAAGGAGGGACGCATGAGAGGAATAGATTGGAGTGTATTTCTGTGTGCTAAGGGGACAGTTAGCAACTACACCTTACATCATTTGCTGCAAGAGATGAAGGATCTATGGGTATGCCCGGTGTGCAATGATGTCGATTCTTAAATCAGTAATCAGTATGTCCCAAGCAACACCCGATGTGTGAATGACTCTTTCCACTGATTTCCCTCTAAAGCATAATGTGCTTTCTTAATTTTAGTATTTGATCAGAAGATACTAAAGAAACCTGGAATCTACACTGAACTGGCCACTAGCAATGTGCATTTTATCAATTACAGTAATGCTTTTATCGGTTTTACACCCCCCCCCCCCCCCCCACAAGATTGTATTTCTCACCTGGTATTTTTTTTTAATGAAACCTAGTGCAGAACGAGTCACGCCAGGGATGTAGTTCCTCTTCCTCCTACTACTACTACTACTATAACTACTATTAAAATCACCACCACTTGTCTAATAATTTGGCTCTCCTCCGAACTTCTACCCCGGCAATATAGTAGCCAATCAAATACCCTAACACGGCCTCAGTCCTGAAAAATGCGGACTTGTCGGACTTCCGGCCGAGGAACAAATCGCGGCAAAACTAGGATCCACTAAATAACGAAACAAATGCTCCAACAGGGTCTCAGCGATATGTTAATTGCGGACCTGTTTCTGTGACTATGCCTCACTGCTGACAGAATCCCCCACGCCGCTACGTGCGGCGCGGATGGGGGGGGCTAAACTAGATGGCTGGGACTCATAAGCAGCAGCTACTGCATCTCCTGCAACTTCCTCCAATTTATTTGCTCCAGGCATCTAGTTTAGCCCCCCCATCCGCGCCGTGCGTAGCGGCGCGGGGGATTCTGTCAGCGGTGAGTTTAATCGAAGAGCCAGTAAAACATCATCATGACTATGTTCTCAGTTGATATGTTGCAGCTGGCAAAGAACGAGCCAGTGCGCACGCTACATTCAATACTACAGCGACGACAGCGCCCAGAGTATCTGTTAGAAGCCACCTGCTGCGCTGCCAACGACACTGCATCCTGTCAGGACGAACAGCGCATCGTATCCCTGCCATGTCGCTTTTATCGTCTGTAATGTTGCACGTCTCGAAATTGTCAACGGTCGCTTTTATCGTCTGCTACTATCGTCTGCAGTGTTGCGTTTCTTGAAATTGACAGGTAATCCTAGTTTTGCCACGATTTCTTCGTCGCCGGAAGTCGCGCATTTTTCATAGGACTGAGGCCCTGTTAGGATATTTGTTACGCCAGGGTAGAAGTTCGGAGGAGAGCCAATAATTCTATTGCACATTCCTCAGAATATTAGCTTGGATTTACAATGAATTCAGTATGCAGTAATGCACTAAAACAGAATGTTTTTCCGATTTCTAGTTTACCCATTTGGAATCAACAAATGTTTAGTTTTATAAAATGGCCAGTTCACATCAAGAAGTCTTTCAAAACAAGCGGTTTAGACCAGGGTTCGAATCGGAATACCGCCTCTCAGGCTATTCCTGCCTCTGACTACAATAGAAACTAGGCTGCTAATTTATTGTAATCTGTGTGTGTTATATGCATACAAACACATCCCTTTTTTATGCAAAAAATACCCTCTAAAATCTAATATTATCCCAGATTCTATTTTAGCACCGTACCCGTCCAAGAATGAAGGAATATACAAGAGGAAGTCCACCTCTAGCTCGTCTACGACCAGGACATCATCATAAACATATGCACTTCCGTTTCGCCTTCCGGTTCTTTTTATTGTGTATTTTTTTGGTTAATTATAATATCGAGATTTGACTGGTCGCCAGGGCTGCAACAGTTTGTGTACAAGATGGTGGCCCTGCCTGGTAAGTAGATCAGAGGCGAACGGTTAAAACAAATGGGGTAGATTCGGATTTAACAGACATGAAACTAACGTATATTGTATAGGTTTTTAATTTACTCGATTTTTAAAACTGTTTGTTGCTAACAAAATATACATTAGCCGATAACAGTTGGTTTGCAAACATGCAAGTGATATTTCAAATTTATTTGACTAAATTCGTTGAGAACTTAATATGGGAATATTAGGCGCTTCTTTGATTGGTTCCCAAAAATGGCGGCATGCCACATTCTGGCCATAAAATATCAAAAATATCCGAACGACGGTGTTCGCGTATATCTAAAATACGGATTATCTTCCAAGGAACAAATCGCGGCAAATCTAGGATTGCTTGACAATCAATATCAATATTTGCACACGGTAGTAGTAGCAGACGATAAATACAGACCGTTGACAACAATTTCGAGCGTACATACTTACCTATCATCATACGGTTGCGTGTAAGGTTGCGTACGGTTACTGTTAGGGTTGCGTAGTCATCATACGGTTGCGCGAAGGGTTGCGTAGTCATCATACGGTTGTGCGAAGGGTTGCCTAGTCATCATACGACTGCGTGTACCTATCATCATACGGTTGCGTGTAGGGCTGCGTACAGTGTGGATTCGGGGTTAGGGTAAGGGTTAGGGGTAGGGTTAGATGTGACAATTTTGACATAGGAGTTCCAAATACTGGCCGACAATCTGATGCTTGTGGGAGTGGCGCCACTGGAAGTCTGTCAAATATGACCGCAATAGCGCGCAGCTGGTGTCCAACCGGTGGCGACGTGTCCGTGTCAGTAGTATCCACAGTCCGTCGACTTTTTTGTGTGTATGTGACAGTGTGCGATTATTGCGAATTCCTGCGTCGTCAAAATTGTCACATCTAACGCTAAACCTAACGCTAAACCTAACCCCTAACTCTACCCCTAACCAACACCCCTAACCCAAACCCTACGCAGCCCTACACGCAACAGCATGATGGACTACGCAACCCTTCAGGCAACCGTATGATGACTACGCAATCCTACAAGCAACCGTATGATGACTACGCAACCCTACACGCAACCGTATGACTACGCAACCCTAAACGCAACCGTACGCAACCTTACACGCAACCGTATGATGATAGGTAAGTTTGTCATTTGTTTCGTGACTTTTCCGCTCACTGTTTCGAGTGCGGCCAAAGGAGAGAACTCCCACTAAACTAAACTAAGTCATCCAGCCCGCATCCAACCCTCGTCCAGATCTGCAAGGAGAGCCCTCGCCAGTACAGTAATTGGAGGAAGTTGCAGGAGATGCGGTAGCTGCCGCTCGTGAGTCCCAGCCATCTAGTTTAGCCCCCAGGGGATACGCTCGGCGGTGAGGCACACTCGCAGACGCAGGTCGGCAAGTAACGCTGTATCGCCGAGACCCTGTCAGAGCCATTTGTTTCGTTATCCGGAGCCGGCACATATATTTTTAATAGAACTGACCCGCATTGGGATATTTTTGGATATTTTATGGCCAGAAATTGGCCAATTTAGCTCCCTTTGAACGCCATCACATTAAAGCCGCCATTTTGGGGAACGATTCAAAAAAGCGCCGAATATTAACTCTTTCAGTGGAAAAAAAACACACTCACTATACGGGTTTGATGGCTTTAGAAGATAACATAAGGTTCTTGTCCATTATCATGGACAGATGTTATATCAACCTTCTGTGTCTA